GTGTTGAGCAATAACCTTAGTAATCGCTCAAAGCACTGCTCGATAACCATTCTCATCATCCAAGTCATGGGGTTTAAATGATGTTATCCGCTCAATGTGTTGAGTGATAAGGGTCCTCATCGCCCAACACACTAGGCGATAAAGATTACTTGGTAGATGATGACCTTTCCTTAACAGTTTTGCCTTGTTACTTATCTTGTGTGATAATCTTGCCCCATAACCCTCTAATCGGCCAAAGCTTCAAACGATGACCTCTTTTTTTTAGCGATAAAAAGAAAATTGAAGTGTATCTGCCCAAGGTCTGAGCGATAACCTTGCTCATCGGCCAAGGCTTGAACGATATGCAAGAGTTCATGCCTTCTCCGCCTAAGGCATAAGCGATGAGATACCACAGTCTGTGCTCATAACTCACCATCCATAGTATTGTTCAAATTTGACTCTCCGTGCTTATTAAGTGTGCTTAATTTTCTTTGCCCATATCACCTTGTGCTTAATGATTAAGGTGGTATTTTTATCATTTTTGCCCTTAAGAGCATCAACATCAATTTTGTAAATGTTGACTTTTCAAAGTCAAAATTTGACTTTTTGGTCAACCAATTTTTTGAGGCTAAAGTTTAAAGCTAGATTTAAAAAGATTGCAGAACTGTTTGATTGGTTTCTATATTTGATTGGACTAGCCAGAGTTTGAGTATCTGCAATCGTTTCTTTGGAGTTTTCTACAAGAGGCTAAACCATTGAGTGCCTTCACTTATTTCTTTTGACCTGATCAATCAGAGGTCTCGAAGGTTTGCAATCAGTGTTATAGAGGTTCTAGAAATTATCAGATTTTTGGGTGTTCTCAGTCATTCTTCTTGTTGATACTCTCTCTCATTGATTTGATGACGATTCCTTTTGTCTATCGAAGTATAGTATTTATGTTATTCAGTTTCAGTGATAATCGGGTCTGTTCAGTGATCCCTGAACGTGTACTATAATTCCTTCATAGATTGTTATACTTCAAGAAGCACAAAACTCACACCACAGATCCTTCATCAATGTCGAAGACAAAAGCTGAAGATTAAAGACTAGCAAGTTCATGATCTGAAGCGGCATTCGGTGATTACAAGCTCGTCTACATATGTGTGAAGTCTACGCAAGTTTCAGCGAACATTGAAGAGACCTCTTAGTGTCATCCCAGTACTCAGAAATCAAATGAAACTTACCAAGCATAATTGTTTTTGTTTTGTCCTCCCTCACACAAAGGACAAACCCATACTTTTCTAGAGTATAATATAGTATGGAGCCACTCCGTTGACTCTATAGTGCTTACCTACTTTATGAAAGTAGACTGCTCATATACAGCCAAAAGGATTGTTTACTGTAGCAAAGGACAAGCTTTCCTCCAAAATCTTAACACATGCTTTGTACCTTCTGAATTGCATTTAATGCAATGGCTATAAATAATTGAGTGCTCTCATCTCAGTTATCATTTTTCCTTACTAAGAACTTACCCAAGAAGTTACTTCTCTATGTACTCTCTCTCTCTCTCTGAGAGAAAGAACCACTTTGAACAAGTGAAGAGCACTTTTATTCTTATCTTTATTTTTTGTAACAAATATTTTCTCTTTGCTATTTGTAATTGTGTGTATCTTAGATTATTTAGATAAGTTCTTATCTTATCTTTTCCACTAACAATCTGTAAATTTGTATTGATCTTTTTTATCAATATATAATTTTTAAAAGTGAAAGTTTATATGTTTGTATTCATTCCCCCCCCCCCTTCTACAAACTGATTACTTATAACTCTTGTAAATCCGGCTGAGACCAACACTTCTAACCTGATCAATTAGAGGTTTGATAGTCTACAATCATTGTTCTGAAATTATGGTTATGATCTACAGTTCTGAGTGCTTTTAATCACTCTTCTGGCTGGGAATTTTGGATTTGATTCTGGTTATTCAGTGTTCTAATAGTTTGAAGGAAATTGGCTTATCTATCTGGGTTGACTTGTCGTTTTTGAAGCTATGTGCTTAATGGCGATTCTTCTCTCCAGTTCTTAATGTTTGTGGTGTTTACTTTGGTACTTCGAGCAGATGTTATTACCCCAATTTGTGAGCTTACCAAGATCAAGTTCTTAAGTTGAATGTTTATTCAACTCATGGTTCACTGAAAGATTCTTTGTCACAAGACTATTTGCACTAGAATTTCACGAAGCTCGCACATTTATCTATCCCACAATTGGATGAATCTATTGCTTTCAGGTTGGCGATGATTCTGTGTTTCAAGGTTGTGTTGAGTTGTTCGCAGTTCTAGTTGTACTTTGTGCAATCAGTGGTGCTAAACTCACATTGAATCTTATCTTAAAGTTGAAACTTAAGAATAAGAGTTTTATTTAGGGGGAGCTTAAAGATTTCATCTATGTCAGGCACACCAAAGTTTTCTTAAAGAAAGCAGGGGGAAAAGACTTGAAGGTTTCAAGAGATGCTTGTTTTATAGAACTTTGGAGGGAGATTGTTAGGACTAAAATAGTCCTAAGTTTATGAAATTTCTATAAATTCAATTACTTTGTATTGTATTGTAATATTCATGTAATTGGGATTAAAGGTATTGGGCTTTCAATGTAAATGTCACCTATAAATAGGTGACATGGGCTTAGAACTAGTGTTGTTAATTCTAATGGTTCATTATGTTATCATTCAATGAGAGTCGATTAAAGTCTAGAGAGAGATTGTAATTTTGCTTTCAATAATATGAAGGTAGCCAGATTAATCATCTTCATCTTCATCTTCAATCTCTTTCAATTATGATTTGTTCTTCATTTGCTGTTAGATCTGGGATTTACACACTTTGTCGTGACAAACAGAAGCAATGGCGACCTTGTCGCAGCTTGGGTTGCATGGCAGCCGCCCGGTCTAAATAAGAGTCCTCATTAGAGGAGTTGGTTGACAAAAAGGGTCCCTAGACTTTGCTAGAGTTTTTGGGATAGACCCAGACTAATATAGATATCAAAACAATAGATTCCAACATTCAAGATTCTATTCACCAAAAAGTCAGGTATTACAAGATTAGAACCCAAGTTGATCTTATGATTATCTATTCGTCTTTATCCAAAAATCATTCAAACTTCCATTCTTATGGTTTACAAAATCGATAAAATAAAAATAATATAAACATTAACAGATTTTGAATAAATTCATTGATTTGTACATACTTCTTTAACACTTGCATTTTTGAAAGTTTATGAATTTTAAAATGTAAAAATCTAAATGCAAATAACGCTTTAATTATTACAATTAGTTTTCATCTATGATAACGACCGGTATACATGTGGGAAATATATTAATTTTCAGAGAATATCTTTCATAATGAGTTTTGCAACTTGAAGACAAATGGTAGGTTTCATTTCCTTTCCCTATTTCACCTTTCAGTAATATATTTGCATTTAACTTTGTTTATGTATATAAATTCTTCATAACCAATAAACAATACAACTACTATTGGCTCTATGATCAATTTATAGCTCAATTCAAACGATTTGTAGAATCCAATCATCTGACAAAAAGAGAGAGATTTATGCAAGTTTCTTGTGTGCAATCCAACTATGAAATAATAAAGCAAAAGACGACTCTCTAAAAAGTAGATGACAAAAATATTTTGTATCGTTAAAAAGTTAAACGCGTAAATATAACAAATATATAACTTTTGTCAACGCTTAACAATCGCTTTTTTCTTGTTCTAGCCTCGGGGTTAAAGTGATAAAACAAAGAACCATGTTTGCTTATGATAACTTTGGTCATTTTTAGTTACCATAAGTTAGTTTATTTTCAAATTTATTAGAAAAAACCTTATTTGATAAACCATAAAATTAACTTGTGAGGTAGTATCTATGCTATATTATAAAGCATTTGATAAAATCATTAAAAACCACTTTTTATATGTAAAATATTGTTTATTAATGCATATTACTTAAAACTCATGATTACAAGTAGATTGTGTAAGTACAACTTATTAAAGCTCCATATCTGAATTCGTGTAACTAACTGCAGATAAACATAATCAAATACAAGATAAACATCTCGTTTTAAATATAAAAAATCTAAAATATAATAAGAATAATCATTAAGTTCTAACAGAATACTTAATTATTATTTTTATAAAATGTTTTATTATTAAACCAAAAATAAATTATTTCGTTATTAAACTTAAATTAAATTATAATAAAAAAATTAATTAAAGAAATTACATAAAAAATTAGAACTTTTAAATAGTTGATTTGATATTAACATTGATATATCTTTTTTCAAATTTTTATGATATTTTCAAATTTATATTTTATTCAAAAATAAAATCATTATTGCTTTCTTAAAAACACATAAAATCGTATTATAACATCGACAGAGACAAATAATAAAATAAAATATTAAAATCGAGATATGTCTCGCTGCATTGCGCGATTATTCTTCTAGTTTATTTTTAAAGTACTTGAGGTAGTGTTTCAATAAGTTATATAAGTTTTTTTTCACTTTTTTTCCGGTTATTCCTCATATATATTATAATCGAGTAATTTTTGTAACCTGTTATTTTACTATTGTTATGTAGATTATTATCAATTAATTTTTATCAAACGTAAATTAAACTATCAGTTAATAGTTAATTTATTAGATAATCAATAACATTTTAGCTAATGAATAAGTCACTTCGTTAAGCATTGTTTTTAAAACAATATTTTGTGTTAAAAATAACTGTCCGCAATAGAAATCTGATAAACTGTTTGTTTTGTATCTCTTTTCAAATTTAGTAATATGCATGACTTTTACTTGAATTAGTTTAGTATTTCTATAAAACATTGGTTAGAATAAATTATAAAATTTCTATTAACCAAAGAATTAAGTGGCATTTGAGAAAGAATAAAACGTGATATTTTTTATGTCCTTTTTGCCACAATGACAGTGGTCCCTTTGGTGATGTCTTAATGTGGTCAGAGCCCCCATATAAATGAACGAAGAAGTTACCAAGAAACCGATCCAATATCATCAGAGGACTGCTCTGGTCTCTGGGTGTGAATCTTTTTCTCTTTGCTGTCTTTGTGTTGTCTAGTGCTGAACTTTTACGGTTTACTGCTCTGTTTTGCCACTCTCCTTCTAGGGTTTGCTTAATGTGAAAAGGACTTCTCTTTTTCTCCACTAAAAGCCACTTGGGTGTGCTCTTTTTGCTTCAAAGTTGTGATCTTTCTTGAGGGGAAGGGAAAACAAGAAAAGGGTTTTTTGTTCAGACAAAGAAATGTATGCAGAGACTGGCTTAATGTTCCCTTATTATTATCAGAGTTTCTCACCAGATATTCAACAATTTGATGATTTCTATTCCTCCCAGAAATCCTTTGCATGCTTGGTAATTTCATTTTGTATACTTTACTCATGTTTTGATGCTTCTTTATTTTGGTTGTTTTCTGCATTCAATTTGGTGTTATTAGTTTGAATGATGTCTTTGAGGCTTTGAGTTTTTAGGGTTTTGGAAATTTTCCATTGAAATACATGGTAGACTGAAACTATGGCTATTTTTTGTGTGAACTTTAGCAATTTGCATCTTTGATGTTGAATTCTTTGGTAGATTGAGTTCTTATTAGTTTTTCTGCTTGTTTGCTGAGAAATCAGGTCAAAAGAAGCTTTCTTTATCTGGCAGTTTCTTGAGACAATTAGCAAGAATTCTTCATGAAAACAAAACCCCCTTCTTAGTTCCGGTAGAAATTTAGAAAGAAGGTGGAATTTTAAGTGTTTTTTACATGAAATTTGGAACAATAACTGCTTTTTAAGAAAACCCACCAAAATCCAGTAATTCATCCTAGATTCTACAGTAGACATGTAGGTTAGTTATCCTTAAGAAGGCTGAGTCACTCGAACAGACCAGCAGGCAATTTTAGGGCTTTCCTTATCTCTACAGGACATAATTGGTGTTCATAAAAGGAATGAGAATCTATCATTAAAGCCAATTTTAGTGTTGTTTTCATCATTACTGAATTGGAAAAGAAAGATTCAGTTGGTTTTCGTGTTCCAATTGCATTAAAGATTCACTATTTCACCGCCGCACTAGCTACATCTTGATGCTGAGAAAAGATGGGTCAAAGTAAAATCAAACTAAAGCTATTACTTGTATTTTGTTTAATCCAATACTTCTGTTCTAATAGGAATTATAGTTTCAGAAAGAACAGAATTGAACTTGAAAAGTTGCATTAGAGTCGTTGAAAGGTAAAGGATCGTGCTTTAAAGCCAAACCCATGTTCTTGAGTGTTCCAAAGGCGGAGCTCGTAGTATATCTAGGTGTGTTTAAGCCATTAAGGCCTAGAAAGTAGATATCGGATATAATTGTTCAAATATTCGTGCTTTTTCGTTCATATGATTCTTTCTTGATGATCTCCATCCATTTTCTTTGTTTCTAATTCAGGGTAGTGTGGTTCAGAGCTCTTCGATTTCAGATTATGATCTTGGGGGTGAAGGGGATCTTTTCAAAGCTCCAGTGCCAATAATTGAGCAACCATTGGTTACCCTTAACCCCATGACAGCAGCCATGTCGATGATCTCTTGTGGAGAAGACAACATTTCCCCACAAGAACTCAGTGTTACAGTTATTGAATCACTTCAAAACGAAGAATTTCTGACTGATGTTTTCCATGAATATAAAGATATCATGGCAAAAGAAGCCGCAACAGAAACATCACCCCTCTCAGAGGTCGTGAATTATAAATTCTCTTTTAAAACAGATGACAACTCCATTGATAAAGAAAATGGACAAATCTTCAAAAGCATGAGCTCAGACTGTCTAAGCTCGATGGAATGTAGTCATGGGGGTCAAGTTAAGCCTAGCTTTCCAACTATTACTGAAGTGGACTTTGGGAATGCTTGTGGAATGCGAAGGGCGTTCAGTGAAGGAGACATAAAGGTTTCATTTTGATTTACGTTTCTGCTTTGTGTTCAACTTATGATGATGATTGTAGCCTTTAACAACATAGTCCTCACATGATATCAGAGCTAAGGGTATTACTCTAGGGACTCGGGGCAATCTCTACTCGTCTAGGTCTCTGTGTGACAATATGTGTATGTGTAGCCTCTGTTAGAAGGGACGTGTTAGAGTTCCACGTCTACTAGACTTCAGTTATCTCTTCAAGGGCTCTTTCCAAAAAATATATCTAGCGGGTTCCAAATATTCTCACTGAAAGATCCCGATAACTGGTTTTCTTGAAGATCATTCCAAACACCGAATTATACCACCAGAGTTAAATATTCCGTTCTAGAATATCTGTTGGTTTGTTTATACGCACATTCATGCATGAATGCACACACCAACTTATTTAGAATGGAATCATAACGCTTGTATGTGTAAGCATGGTGTATATGTAGGCGTAAGCCAGTAAAGATAGATGATGCTGACTTGAATTCACCTTTACAGACTCTAGGTAACTGCAATGGAAGCTTTAGACATTCATCTGGTGGGCACCCACAACTCATCAATGAACACACCACCAGCAACGAAGACCGCTGGCAGAAGCTGTCAAGATACAGGAACAAGAAGACAAAGAGGAATTTTGGTAGAAAAATCAAGGTAAACAGCTTCTGGTTATGCATTCTTTATTGTTCCCATCAAGGTGGCTAACCACCTAGCCATGGTGCAGCCGAAGTAGTCGAAATTGTGATGTGGAATGGCTCACAATATCTCTTTGTTTTGGTTGACAGTATGCATGCAGGAAGGCATTGGCAGACAGCCAACCAAGGATTAGGGGAAGGTTTGCCAAGACAGAAGAAAGTGAAATCTTGAGAAAGTAATGAATGTAGAAAAAGTAATGACAATGAAGATGTAGAAGAAACACATAGGATATGAATATGAAAGCAGGTTTTGCTAAATAAGCTTTTTTATTTTATTTTTGTGGTATTATGCTGTTATTAGATGTAATAATGTTTCTAGTTCTTGTACATCCCATTCCCATATGCTGAACCCTTGTTGTATACAACTATGTTCTTGAAATTCTACTTCTAGTTTTATTTTTAAGACTCAGGTGACATTTCTTTACACCTGGGCAGCAGCTCCTTTGTGGTCGTTATCGAGAGCAATCGGCAGACCAGTGGCGGATCCATAAACTTTTATTATTGGGGGCCTCTTTTAAGGATGTCAAAAAAAATCTGAAACCGAATCGCTCTTTCGAACCAATACGATTTTGGTTATTCGGTTTTTCGGCTTTAAGGTCCACTTTAATTGAATAAAAATAACTTATTCATTAGTATTATAGCAAACAAAACAAGAGAAATAAAATGAATTTTAACGGGTTGACACTTTAGAAGTTAGAGGAATTTTAGAGTTTAATTGATCAAGTAATGACTCCTTCAAGTAAGAGTTCTAAAATGAGATGACAAGAATTAGAATCGAGTCTAACTTTTATTTGTTCTAGGCCTATTAATAATTTTAGGTTAACAAAAATATAAATAAACCTACTCTCGGGGTTTGTTGGGGGCATATGCCCTCTAGCCCTATGTTGTGGATCTGCCAGTGTGGCGGACCTAGTCTCTATTGGAATCCTGAATATGTCGACAAGTTAGATTGAATGCATGCTTATTGTTTTACCACTTGTTATACTATGGGTCCCTAAAGCGCACAAATAATAGAGACTATCCCTATCACGTAACAGATTCTTCCCTCTAACGAATTTCACTAACTCGAGTAAATTACACTCACGTAACAGATTCTTCCCTCTAATTTCAATGTTTTCTTCATCTTTAAATTAATCATTTCAACAGAGTTTTCTCAATTGTGAGTTTTACTTTCTTCTCATTCCGTGTCAAATACTGAAAATCAAGAAATCAACAAGTCTTTGAGAAAATGTGTAATTAATGAATCATGTTCTATAAAACAAGTGTAAGAAATTAAGAGGTGAAAATGTTGAGAAATTCGGGGGAGTTGAGCATCTTTAGCAGTCTCGATCGACGTCGCCATTAAGAAACAAGTGCATGGGAGGTTGTTAGGACATTTTAACAACATTTATACATTTTAATTCCTCTTTTTTCTTCATAGGACTAGTTGATTGTATACAGACAATGGAAAGAAAAACTTTGTAGGCTCTGATCAATGAAAAGGCCAGAAGTTCGTATAACACTATGGCTTATGCAGTTTAATCGGGTTGACTTCAGTTTCGCCGTGTCTGGCCCAACTCCAATCTAATATTTGTGGTTTGCCCATAATTTGTATCAACTATGTCTTGGATTGCCCAGAGTAAATATTTTCAGACCGGTGTTGTGAAGTTTATACAACCTTAATATTTTTATTTTTTTAGCTTTTAACGATGAATTGAAGTACTTCTTATTATTGGTTTAAAGTAAAATTTACAGCATGTTGCATTGCAAACGGGTACACTGCTAATTTGTGTGTATATATAGGCTCATTATTTTGCTAGCCCTCTAATTAGTATAAATCATGCTAATTGGGGTATTTTCATCATTTTCACCTATGATACCTCATATCTTAATTACCTCGTTCACTTGCCATTTTCAAACGGATTACCATACGTGTAATTATAATTCATAGATGAAACCCTACAAGAAAATTGTAATTTCTTGGTTTCGTACTGTGCACATATGAAAACATTTACAAAAATTTCACTTATGGAACATTTTCGAATATTGTCCTTTTACGGTTTCTTATTGTGTTTCTAAACATTACTAAAATTTTCACATACGAAATATCTGATAATCTTGTTACTTTAAGATTTCAGCTATGAACTTTGGTAAAAGAATTTGGGAGAACCAAGATTTATAGAGGAAACAACACTATGAAATTTAGAATAAATCAATGTTTTACATATGAATTTTGTAAAATTATTGGAATAATTAAAGTTCATAGATGAAACAATACTATGAACTTTAAAAGCACCATATTAATCACAGGATGGGCAGAGTTTTGGGTTTCTAAATGAAATTCATTATCACTTAGTGATACAAAATCAATACAAATCAAAACTCTAATCGAATTGAAACAAGAATCATATACAAATAAAAAACCTAAATCGAATTCAAACAGAAACTAAATCTTTAAACAAAAATAAACCCTAATCTAGAGATATTATTAATTCTTCTAGCATATCTATACTTGTAATAGAATTGTAAGAGTATTATTCCGATAGATAATTCGTCTATAGATTCATTACATTTGAGTTCACTAGTTTATCCTCATCTATATGATAGATTGGCTCAACTCAGGAGGAAGAACCGGTAATAGACACAAAACCATCCATTTATGTTCTATATTTGTTCTAATAAAATACTTAGCCAATTCCATGCGTCTAAGCAAAATATCTTTTCCTAGATCTCCCTTAACGCATAACCTTCACTCTACGACATTAAGAAAAATGATGGAAAGAAAGGTGAAAATAAGAAAACAACGGGTCTTTTTATGTCTCATCTTCAGTCTCGAACCATATGATGAAAATGGGACAAGGGTGATATTTTTTGGTTTGTACGTTGTTGATCTAGAGTACCATTAGAAGTTGCTAACGATCTGGAAAGAAGGGAAAGGAAGAAAAACACGATTTGGAGAGATGGTATAGGAAGAAGAAAACGATTTGGAGAGAAGGGGGAGATAAGGCCGAATTTTAGGGTAACTGGGGTGAGAATTATATTCCAAAAATAAATCACAAAGTTTTCCCAATATTTCCCTTATTTAATTCATTTTCTTCTCATCAATTTGCAAACTCTCGTTCAACCATAATTGTTTATAAAAAAAGAATGACTCATATAAGTTTGTAAAGTTTGCACTATTTAGATGGTTAACAAAAAAAGGTGAGTATATAGGGGCAGGTTCGGTTGTAAATTTGACCTCCATTGTGAATCAGGAGACAAATGAGAGTGCACCACATGTTTCATACATTCATGAAATATTCATTATAAATGTTGTAGAAAATTCACATTCATTATTCATAATGAATAGAGACACGTTTCACGTTCTCATTTGTCCCCTGGTTTGCAACGAGAAACATGTTCGACAAACACCACCATCACCGGTGGTGATCAGATTATTAAACCCAACCACAACCCCAAATCTACAAGTCATATCTTTTTTTCCCTAAACAACCCAACACCCTACAACTAGTGAGTAGTTGATTGAAGACCAACTAGAACCGTGTGGGTTCTCATCAAATCTTTACCCTTTTGAACAATTTTAAATTGTAATATCCAATACACCAATAACATTGTTTATTCAAAACACAGACTATTAAAGCCTCTGGCTATAAGCCATTTTCCTCCACTGCATAACATCATTGTTATCATATCAATAAGAGCAATAATTCCAAGTCTTCACATCATACAGAAATGATAACTCCGAATCATTGCATCACATGGATGCGATAACAAGAGTTATAATCAAAACTTAGATTTCACAATTGCCACCTTTATTCAAAGGTGCATCTCTCCTTGATATGTCACCCTTATCTCAGGGTACACCTCTTCTTAATATGCGATAACAATGTTTTCTGCTGGAAATGGGGGGACAATCGAACTTATATATACATAGGTGACTATCAATCGGTTTGGTTTTGCTGCATTTGTGTTCTTTCAGCAAATTAATGATCGAGTTTGCATATAGATCTTTGCTCCAACCACACTGGCTCCTTTGAGGGATTTTTAGACCTTAGGATACACTACAATTTTACAAAATAGGATACACTACAATTTTAGAAAATGGAAGTCTCGTGGTACGTTTGTGAGAAAATTTCACAAGTCCTTTATCCACTTCTTGATTTGTTTTTTTTATCTATAATACTTTATAAACCAAATTTATCAAAAGTCTTAAAAACAAATTTTAACGCACAAAGTACTATACATGTTATAAAATTTGTGAATGACATTTGGATTATTTAAAACAATATTGTATTTAGCAAGTGAATGACATTTGGATTATTATAGTTATAAAATTTGTGTTATTGAACCATCATATTCAGAAAATCTAAACAAAAAACTTAAAGAGGCAAGATGAGAAATTTTAACATGGGTTTCTGAACATATTGACAGCAGATATGGTATAGGTATAACATGTGTTTGTATGCATGGATTAGGTTTGCAGATGCAATTGAAATCTTTGTTTTCTTGTTTTCTGGTTTGCTGGTGAAGAAGACCTCTTAGCCATTATTCCAAAACTTGAGGTATTTGATTACAACCTTGAGCAAATTTTAAGTTTACTATTTAAAAACACTAATTTTGATCAACACAAACTTGATAAGCATGGTGGTTTGAAATAATCTATGTACAAAAGACACGTAAAAGACCCAAAAGACACCTTACATGCAACCTAAACCCATGGCCACAACAAAATTCCTCCAACAGCAGTGAAAACCCACTTGAAAACTCCATTGACGACGACGATGAAATTAAGGTTTTGGATGATGTGCTTGGGTGAAACAGAAGGGTTCAAATATCTAGAAGAGATGTGCCCATCGTTGATATCTGAGCTTCTTGAAACAATAGCATTAGTGGCGGTGGACGAGAGATCAAATGAAATTGTCAAGTTGGATCATTTTTCGAGCTCAAATGCTTGGTTTTTGACATCTAAACAACTTGAGATTTATTTTTTAAAGTAGGAAAGAGTTTCAGATTTTTCCTTTAGCACTAGGAAAGTGAGAAAGTATCAAAGAAAATGAAGTTTGCTCTAGCAAAGAAATGGCTTCCGTTTTTGGTTGTTGTGTTTTCCTTTTAAATGCATCAAGATATAGTCATTAGATAAGCGAAATTTCTTGAGGGATGCTACAATCTTGGTACAATAACTGTCGAAGCTATCATGGTTGATTCTGATCCTCCTTATCTTATGTTCGATCCTCATCTTAAGTTAGAGATATATTTCTTGATCGACCATTTTCATTTTTGTTTTCATTTGGGTTCTATAAAGTCCATATATTATTGTTTCCATTTGGTTTTTATACGCTATAGATTCTTGATTTCTTTTTTGCCTTTGATTGGGTTTTATAAACGTATTCATGGTTGATGTTCAGGGATAGACTTTCCTC